GCGATGTGCATACTGTTCACGAAATAATTGAACAATTAGCGAGAACAGTGTCATGTGGAGGAAACCTTCTGTTGAATGTTGGTCCCGATATGCATGGCAAGATACCTCCTATTTTCGAGGATCGACTTCGAGAACTGGGCAAGTAGGTGAAAATTTGTAGTAGTCATACAAAAGGCTATAACATGTAGTCGTACAAAAAATGTTATAGCATGGAAGAAACTGAATATAGGGCCAATATTTGTATCATATAGAGTTGTTTATCTCTGTGGTCTGACCACAGGAATTCGGACCGAACATCTATTCAAAACGTCTAAGCACTTTTAGGTTCTTAAACGTTAATTCTGAAGCATTATATGGAACCAAGCCATGGATTCATCAAAATGACACTGGAAATACTTGGTGAGGTGTTCACACCATGCAAATTCAAATATCAAAAAACATCCAGGTACACATCTCGTACATTGTCATCTACTCTACCGAAAAACAGGCTATACAATCCACAAGTGGAAGGACAAACAATAGTATATGCATGGGTATTAGACATGCCAACCAAGGATTTAGAGCTGAAGAATTTGAAAACAACGGACAGGGTTTGGTTCCTCTATCACCGAATCTTCCAACATTGTCATCCTCTTTACAGACAAAGGTAACCTTCCTCGGTACCGATGTTTCGTTTGTGCCAGGCGCAAAATCCTCCTTGTTAATCAAGTTTGACGACATTCCATGGAGGCACTTGCTTCGCAATGATGTTATGGTCTTGAAGATTGAGAATGCCGCTTCAGAAACGGTAAATGTCTTTATACCGCTTTCCTAATAATCTGAGATAATATTTTCAGCGTGGCAGAGAACGAAGAAGAAGAAGGGTAGTCAGAAGATTTCCCGATTTTCATTGGTCGTACGATGCTTTTTGATAGGAAAGAATGCACAAATACAGTGTTCGTGCGAATGTCACCGCGTCACTTTTGATTTCTGACTATGGATCTGGTGGCCACTTATTCGTCGAGCTATAATCATTCGCAGAAAAAGCCGAAATGAGAAAACTAGAAAATCTTCAAAAACTTATTTCCCAACCGCAGCGTTTGTGGTAGTTCACCATCCAAAGATTTCGATGAGCGCGCCAGGAAGTGGATAGAGGTGGCACTGTTGATATCTTCAATGTGCTCTTTCGCAAAGCAAAATTGGACGATGTTAAAATGACTTATTCACTCATTTCTCATCAAGTTTGGACTACGCATCCATGTCTACTGCAAGTTTGAGCGAAAACTCCACGCCTAATTGGATACTTCCTCTTGAACGACAAAATTAGCTTGAGCGCATTTTTAATTTCAGTTGTTTTTGAGAATTTTGGGTGCATGAACTATAAGTGTCAAAATTTTCTGTGATCGAGGCTATGGCGGCTCTTTGTTTAAATCTCAAACTGCATGAAACATAGCATCGACAGTGCACCACAACCCAACCTGATAATGGATTCCTTTGTTCGCGTTCC